AAAAAAAAAAAAAAATTTCATTCTGAAAGCCGGGTGTGGTGGTGCATACCCATAATTCCAGGACTCAGGGAGGCTGAGGCAGGAAGACTGCAAATTTGAGCCCAACTAGGATAACTTAGTTAGACCCTGTCTTAAAATAAAAAATAAAAAGAAGCCTAGAGATATAGCTCAGTGCAAGGACCTTGGGTTCTATATCCAATACTACACCCCCCCCCCAAAAAAAATCACCTTGGAAAGGACAAAGTTTATATAGAGGCTCAAATTACCCTGGTCATTCTAGCCAGGCTAGGATAACATTAGTAAGCACAATGTGCCATCCACTGCTAGGTACGGCAAGTCCTAGACACAACCAGAAAGAGCTGACAGTATGAGAGCACGGAGCAAGAGTGTAAGAGATCTGGAGAAGAAAGGGGAGGGCATGGCAAAATGCCAGGGTTTATCACTGTCATGGGGCTTTGCCTGACATAGTCATTGTATAGAGCAGATTTTGTGTGTTGCATTACATCAGTATCCAAGGAGGTGGAGAGACTTATAAAAGGGACTCCACTTAAGCTCCTTTTGTTAACTGACACAAAAGATCCAAGAGCCAGGCTCTGAGGATTATCCTCCTGTGAGTTCCCAGCAAACTTGGTGAGCTCCTCTACCTTGTTATTCTCTACTCCATGCAAAGGGCTAACTTCAACTTGGCGCAGCAGGACTGGGAGATGGGTCCGCATCACAGGCTCCTGACTAATGCTGCTGACAGCAAAATGCTGGCAAAACCTGAAAAACAAAGGCAGTGCTATTAAATTACCATCGCCAGCCTTGCTAGATAGGCCAACTCACATGAACAGCTTCTTATTGCTGAAAAATAAGCCTTAGAGAGGTTCTCCCTAATGAATAAAATTTTGTGTGGTTTGCCGCTACTACTTTTTACAAGAACCCCTAAGAAGCAAAAGAAAAAGGAGTTTAGGGCCGGGGATTTAGCTCACTGGCACTGCACAAGCACAAGGTCCTGAGTTTGATCCCTGGTACTGGGCAAAAAATCCCCCCCAAAAAAACAGAAACAAAGGAAAAAGGAGTTTAGACAGGACCAACATTGAGGTTTCAGACATTTCAAAAGCTGGCTCATTAAGCATCTAAAATCACACACAGAGCTCACCAGTCCAACTCTGGGAGTTTGGCTAAGAGCAGTTTTAAAGAACTCCACTTCTCCCCAGTGGGATGGCTCAGGACAGCGAAGAGCTTCTGTGCACTGGAGTGCCTGGAATAGCAAAAGCTCATAGGTTAGAATTCCACCTCTTACAGCACATGTATTCTACAGAGCTAGTTCTGAGGCTTTCAAGCCAGGGGCCCATGACAGAGGCAAGGCTTCCAAACAAACACCTCACCAACTTAAACAAAATGTGGCATTGGTGCCTGACGACTGGCGTGGCAAGAGGAAGCATGGCCATAAAGCCCCTCCCAGTCGTATCAGTTTCTGATTCCCCAAGGGTACTGGCTACTGGCAAGCTGGCAGCACTGAAACAACTGCCGGCCCTTCCAGAGGCCAAGAGCCCCATGTTACATAAGGGGAGGCATCCTGGGGAGAGCACACTCATAATGCCTAGGGAACCAATTGTAAACGCTGAAGGCAGCCACTTACAATCTCTTTTGTTCCACAGATAATCCATCTTCCTGGATCACTTTTAAAGGGAGCCCTGAGTTATCCTGCTGTTGCCAGGGGGAGAAGACCTAAACAAAACAGAATTTGAGCAAAGAACACTTTAAACCCAACAACAGGATATGGAATCCACATGGGGATTTGATGTTGGTTGAAAATCTAGACTGCCAGTGCAGAGAAAAACCATTATAACAAACAAGTTTGCTTCAAAAGTAAGCGCAGAAGCAATTCTGTCTTATGTTTTTCAAAGCCAGAAATATTTTTCTGAGTTCCTCTCCTCAGGGAGGAAGGTGTCAAGTAACACTACTCTGGCAACTAGGGCAAGCTCTTCCCTGCTGACAGGGCCAGGCGATCTTGGTTCAAGTAACTCCTGCCAGGCAGAAGGATGGCTTAAGAGAATGGAAAAGTCTGTCTCTGGGTTCCCAGATTGAAAGGACAAGCACAGAGAGGAAGGAAGGTCTAGCAAGCAGTAATGGGCCAAGGTCAGCTCTTATTCTTCCACATTTTGTGAATCTGTCCTGAGAGAGGGACACTAACTCCTCACAAGCTGCTGCAATCACTCTTTTCCAAGAATTTCCTAGAATTTCCACCCATCATGAGGTTGGAATCAGCCTGACTCTGGCTACTGCTTGTTCTTTAAGCAGGTAGTATGACTCTTGGGCAGCTCCCTCCCTTGTGTAACCTTTGCTGAGCACCCTTAATGGACAGCCTGCCAGTGGGATCATCTGCAAGGGCAGGGACTGTGTTCCCTTGGGAAGAAGAGTACGGGGTGGGGTAAAGAGCTCTAGTCCTATAGGTAGGATCACCATTCAGTAAGACAGCTAAAAGGAAAATAAATCTAATTGGGACTTAAAGGGGACAAAGATTTTCCTTAAAGTCCAAAAAGACTTTGTTCAGTTGTGTTTATTGTTTTTTGGTACAACTAGGGATTGAAGCTGGGTGTGGTGGCACATGCCTGTAATCCCATCCTCAGGAGGCTGAGGCAGAAGGATTGCTGTCAGTTCAAGACCAGCCTGAATTACACAGTGAGACCCTATCTCGAAAACACCAACTCTCTCACAACCCCTAAAAAATCTGGGGATTGAACCCACGGTGCTGCATATATTAGGCAAGTGCTCTACCACTTTTTCTGCATGTACTAAGCTAGCACTCTCCATTCATTCATTCATTTATTTATTTAAGACAGGGTCTTGCTATGTAGTTTAGTTTAGGCTGGTCTTGAACTCACTGTGTAGCCCAGGGTGGCTTTGAACTTTCCATGATCCTCCTGCCTCAGCCTCCCAAGTGCTAAGATTACAGGTGTGTGCCACCTTGCCCAGCCGCTTTTATTTTTGAGATAGGATCTCACTATTGCTCAGGCTGGCCTCAATTTATGATCCTTCTGCCTCAGCCTCTGAGCAGATGAAAATAAGGCATGAGCCACCACGACCACTTTCTTTAGGCTCTCACCTCTCACTGGCAAGAGCACCATTCTAGAACCCAAAGGGAGTATTGAAGTAGCCATGGCCTCCTCTCAATCCTCTCAACTCTTGATCTCATCAACTCACTGTTAGCACTGAGACACTGTCTCATCATCTAAACTGCTAAGGGAAAAAATGACTGATGTTACCTCTGAGTAAAATGCTTGATATATCTTTGATTTTGGGAAAAGGGCAATCATCAGAAAATTGCTTGACCCATGGAAATGAACTGGGAGGTGAGGAAGTAATGAGCTTTTGAAGTCGATGAGAAGGGCAGCCACAATACTGGTGGAATCCTAAAGAAAAAAGGAGGAGCAATATTAGCAAGCAAAGCCATTTGCTTGATTCCAGTCCTTATAACTAGAGTCAACACACAGGGCAGGGATCAATGTCAGTGCAAGTATTTTCACATTCAAGTGGTACATGGAGGTTCAAGAATGGATGTGCTTTCCAATACTCAGTTATATTAGAGATGAGCAGTACAAGGATCAAACTGACAATGACACTTCAAAATTTCTTTTAGGGTATTAATCCATTATTGGATGTAAGATTTGCAAATATTTTCTGATTCTGTGGGTTGTTGTTTTTATTCTCAAGAGCATCCTTTGATGTGGAGGTTTAAATGTTTTGTTTTTTGTGGTACTGGGATTGAACCCAGGGCCTATGTGTTAGTCAAGCACTACCACTGAACAGCATCTCCAGCCCTTTTCCTTTTTTTCAGATGGTCTCAAAAAAGTTGCCAAGGCTGGGGTGGAACTTATGATTCTCCTGTCCTGCCTTCCCAAGTAGCTGAAATTAGAGGCATGCACCATCATGCCCCAACAAGATTTAAAAATCTCCCCCTGGTACTGGGAATTGAATCCAGGGCCTTTGCACCAAGCTATACCCCTAGCCCTTTTTTGTTGTTTTTTTTTGGTACCCGGGATCTAACTCGGGTCTTTGAGCTTGTGTGGCAGGCAGCGAAACCACTGAGCTAAATCCCTGGCCCAGCCCTAGCCCTTTAAAAAAAATTTGAAACAGGCTCTTGCTAAATCACTAAATTGCCCAGGACGACCTCCACCTTGTGATCCTCCTGCCTCAGCCTACCAGAGTGCTGGGATTATAGGCATGGGCCAGGAATATCTGAATCATGTGATAGTGACAGCATGAATTATATAGCTGTCAGAGCTTTAAACAGACAGAGTTGGTTGTATTTAAAGTATATTTTAATGAATTGTTTTTATTTATCTACTCTGTGTTTTTTTTTTGGTACTGGGATCGAACTCAGGTCCTTGCGCTTTCGAGGCAAGTGGCAGAACCACAGAGATAAATCCCTGGCCCTACTTTGTGTTTTTTTGAGATGGAGTCTCACTATGTAGTTCAGGTTGGCCTTGAACTTACTACGTAGTCTAGGGTGGCCTCAAACTCATGGCAATCCTTTTCCTGCCTCAGCCTCCCAAGTGCTTGGATTACACTTGTTACAGGTGTGTGCCCTAAGCCCTGGCTATAAACTGCTGTTAAAATTAAAAAATCATTAAGTGGGCCGGGGATTTAGCTCAGTGGTTTTGCCACCTGCTGCACAAATGCAAGGACCCGAGTTCGATTCCTGGTACCAAAAAAAAAAAAATCATTAAGTGATGAAATTTGATAAAAATTTTCTTTAAAACTTCTAATATAATTTCTAATTTTAGAAATTTTTCCTGCACCAAGTGATTTAGTACACATTCAGTTTTATGTTCTTTGTACTTATGAAACTTAAAATTATTATTATTTTTTTTTTGGTTTGTTTTTTGTTTTTTGTTTTGGTACTGGGGATTGAACTCGGGTCCTTGCACTTGCGAGGCAGGCGGCAGAACCACTGAGCTAAATCCCCGGCCCGAAACTTAAAATTATTAAAGTTTAATCTATCAAATGCTTATTGTGATTTTTTTTTTTTCAGTACTGGGGACTGAACTCGGGTCCTTGCGATTGCGAGGCAGGCGGTGGAACCACTGAGCTAAACCCTCGACCCTTATTTTGATTTTTTGAGGGACAAGAATTAACCTATTATTCCAGTACTGTTTCCTAAATGAGATTTCCTTTCCTCCCTCATGCTGGAAGATTCCTTTAAGCTAATACTAAAGCTTTTATCTAACAGGGCCATTTGATCAGCCCAGTTGGTCTGCCTGCATTTCTGAAGTAATTAAGACAACAGGTTTTATGTGGAAGAAAGACTTGCTCACCGACTCATCTTCTGACCCATCTCTGTCAAGATCATCTCTGTCTTGGCTTTGAAGCTGGCTTTAGGGCTGAGACCAGGCCAAGAAGAAAGCAAGCCTGTCCTCTGCTGCTATGCCCACTGAGGGGTATGCTGTGTCTGGCCACTGATAACAGGCTTGGGGGAACTCAGAGCTATTCTTCTTCCCTAAGGAAGAGTAAGTGGGTGAACGTAAATGATGGTCCTGGGGATGGTACATTCATAGAGCTAGAGACTAACCTTAGTATGTGAGGGAGCTGGGCTAAGCCCCTATGGAAGTTAGTCACTTCCCTTTCTTTGGCCCACTTATAATCCTTTCCCATGGCTAAGGTGGTAAGTGGAACTCCACCAATGCCAAAGGATGAAGCTTCTTTCTAGTTCTGAAGTGGATGAGCCTTTGTGTCTGTGGGTCAGAGACTGCCTGTGAGGTACCACTCACTGGAGGCCTTTTCAGTCTACTTCCCAGTTTTCTTTGGGATGAGTGATTTGGGCATGGTGACCTGATGGCAAATGCTGAAGCACTGATTAGGCAAAAGGACTGTAAGTTTAAGTCCCAACAGGGCAATTCAGCAGCTTACTGAGACCATTTCAAAATCAAAGGGCTGGGGATGAAGTTCAGTGCAAAGGTTCTGGATTCAATTCCTAGGACTGCAAAAAAGAAAAAAAAATGTGTATTTTTCTGACCTCCAAAGCCATGAACTGGTAAAACACCTACCCCATCATAGAAAGAAATAGAATTCATGTGATCCTTAGAAATGATGATATTTCCATGATGACGGTGAGAAAACAAAAGGCCACTGGAGAAGAAAAGCACATTCCCTGAAAGGAAGAGAGAGAGAGAGCTGTCAGAGCTGGAGGGCTGGGTCCTGGAGGCCAGATTCTAATGTCCTCCTTCAGATACCAGAGTGGTAACTGCAGACCAATGTCAGCGTTATGGCTTGTATTTAGATGTCGGTCCAAAGCCTCATGTGGTCATAAGTAGGGCTTTTTCAGAAGTGGCTGGATCCAGACTGATTCATGATGATTGATTCATGATGCAATGCTAGGATTAAAGTTGTGCTATTGCCCTAAGGGTGGATAGCCTCGACACAAAATAAGGAAGAGAAGGAGGCTTGCTACTAGTTACTTGTAGTTTGTCACTGGCTTGCTTTTACTGTCTTCTGCCTGCCATAAACTGTTTTTCCTCTGTGATGCCCCTCTTGAGTGTTGGGTATTTTGTCTGAGCAAGAAGGAAAAGTAACTAAGACAGTAATGCTTATGTGACCCAATTCATATGCTGAGCCCTGTGCTCTAGGGAAGTCAAAGTAACTTCACAGAGCCTTGGAGAGAAACAAAACAGATATAATCTTTGTATAACTATTAGAAAAAACAAGAAGTATCTAAACTATCAGCTGGCAGGAGAGGGAAAAATTCACATTACCTTTTAGGTGTCTTCCAAGGATATGCAATAAAATAAGACTTTGGGTATAGACCCTGTTCCATTACTTAGCTTACAGACTTTCCTTTTTCCTGATTTGACAGAAGCTGGCTCAGCCCTAGAGATCACTTCCTTTACTTAGGGCCCAAGAAGCAGCACCAGGGTTTCAGCTGAAGTCTCAGCTGCTGATGTGGCCAGCAAAGCAACATCTGAGTTAGGCAGTAAGTGGGTTATATGGACACTGGAGGCCTGCTGTTCTATAGTGCCCCAAAACAGGATGGGTGGCAGGTGGACAGTGGATGTGGGTTTCTCAGGCCAAGGATTCAGTTCTGAGGAGGGCTGCTGTTTCTCAGGTGTATAGTCACACAGAACAGCTCAGTCTAGGGCCTAAGGAAAAAGAAGGCTAATTAAGACACACAGAACAGGTAACACAGAAAAGATGGGTAAGAAGGATGACAAAGATTAAGGCTTGTTCTGGAGTGCAGAGCACCCATCAGACGCCTGAGGAAGCCGCTCTCTGGAGCTTAGATTCTTTCTGTTCCCCTAACAGTCTTCCTTTGTAGGTTTTTACACACAGAGCAAAAAAAAGGAGTTCAAAACACACATTTCAGAGATAGTATCATTAATATCTTATTGAAAAGGCAAAACTCTAGAAACAAAAAGTAATACAAGTCCTTGTGCTGTAGCTCAGAGAAGCAGCCCCAAAGCTCTGGAGGTTACAAAGATAAGAGCAAAGGTAGCTGGGAATAATGGTGCATGCCTGTAATTATAAATTAGAGCAACTTTTGAGTGGCTGAGGCAGGAGGATCACAGGTTTGAGGCCAGTCTGGGCAACTTAATGAAACCCTATCTCCGAGTAAAATAAAAAGGGCTAGGGTTATACAGCTAGGAGTAGAGTGTTTGCTTAGCATGCACCAGTCTCTTGGTTCAATCCACAATAATACACAAACACACACACACAATAAGGAAGGATGGAAGGAGGGAGAAACAGAGAGAAGGAACAAAGAAAAAGAGAGACTAAAGGCCAAGGGCACAAGGGATGCCTCTGAGTCAGGGGTAAGGAATCCTCCACTGCACGTTCTGAAGGCTTCCTGAGAAGTTGGGGTTTCAGAAGGAAGGGAAGGGCCTAGTGACTATGCATTAATGGGAGATGGGGATAATAGGGGAATGGGAGGCAGTTTTTAGGTACAAGAAACTGTGGAGCTAGACTCTCAACAGAAGAGCTAGAGGGTCAAGTCATGGGGTCAAGTCATCCTTACCATGAGGACAGAATTCTGGGCAGCAGCAGCCAGCCCAGTTCAAGGAATCCAGGTTCAAGCTTGTAAGCCTTCTACCTTCCAACAAGTAAAGCCTGGCTTTCCCCATACACTGCCTTGCCCCAAGGCCTATTCTCATCCCAAGTTCCTCAGCCCTTCTCCTAGGTCTCTCCCCTCCCCTGGCATGATACTTTACTCCCTGGGGGACATAAATCCCTCCCTCCCTTTATTACCCACATCTTCTGTTCTGCTTATGCCATAGTATTTCAAACAGCTCAATGTGCTCAGTCATTCCTTTCAGAGTCCTCATCTCCATTTCTTTTTAGGGATCATGGAATGGGTCCAGCCACACTGAGCTCACTCCTCCTCAAGGCCAACTGCACAGTAGTAACATAGAACCCAGGTTGCTGCACCTGAATCTTCAGACCCAGAGCCTATTTTCTGCCTGCAGCACCTCAAAGTTAAGAGAAACAGGCTCTGCAGAGTGAGTTTGGGCCAAGTAAAAGTAGGAAAAGAAGTACTCCCTAACCGGGGATGGTCACACACTCCTGTAATCCTAGCACTCAGGAGGCTGAGGCAGGAGGATTGCCCTGAGTTCAAGGATACCCTGGAGTTCAAGGACTAGGGGGACCCTGTCTCAAAACAACAACAACAACAAAAAGTACACCATATAGCTTGAGGGTAGGCCACCATGAAAAAAATTCAGTGGCCAAAATTTATTCTATTGTTTTTTTGCTTTTTTTTTTTTTTTTTGCTACCAGGGATCAAACTCCGGACCTTCCGCTTTCAAGGCAGGTGGCAGAACCACTGAGCTAAATCCCCGCCCCTCTCCCCTTTTGAGACAAGGTCTCGCTATGTACTTCAGGTTGGCCTTGAACTTACTATGTACTCCAGGCTGGCTCGAACTTGCAGTCCCAGCCTCCCAAGTGCTAGGATTACAGACAGTGCACCACCATGCCTTGTGGGAACAGACTTTATTAAGTATTTCTTAAACACCAAGCATATCACATACAGAATAGTTTTACATCTTTGCAAAAATTCTAAGAGGTGGTTGGGTGTATTCCTAGCACTCTGGAGGTAGGAGGATTGTATGTTTGAGGCCAGCATGGGGAACTTAACAACTTAGTAGTTGCTAAGGCCTGAGACCTTAGTGGGTGTGAGACTATCTCAAAATAAAAAAAAAGAGCTGGGGATGGAGCTCAGTGCGAAGGCCTTAGGTTTATTCCCCAGTACTGCCTCTCCTCCAAAAGTAAGCAATGGTATTACTTTTTTCTTAGAAAATGGAAGCTACTCAGACTGCATTCCCTGCCTCTTATTTCCTCCAAGGAGGAAGTGAGAACAATCATCACTGACAATTGGCAGTTGCGGCAAAGCAACCCCAAGAGCCAGTTTCATGCTCAGAAAGGAACACTATGCCTTCTCCTCCTCGTGGCTTCTGGTACTCTACACGATCAGTGAAACTTCTTTAGTAATGAACTATAGAAATGATCCCTGAATGTACAGTCTTGGTATTAATCTTCTTGTAGGAATGATGAGGAAAATCAAGCTTAAAGTCTCCAAAAGTCAGTTACTTGCTGAGGAAAAACTGGTACAGAACACTGGTTTGTATGACACTAAAGCACAATGCCACACTGGATCCCAGAAGTACTCTCACCCCTCCTTCCCTTCAGTTTTCTTCTGTCCAGGGCCCCCATGTGGCTATCTGATGATGTGCATTTTGCCTCTTCAGCTTGAACAGGCCTACAGTATGGCCCTCTGACCACAGGCTCTCAATTCTTGTTATCAGCCCACACAGACCACAGCAATCCATGACCTTCAAAGCTCTCCCAAACTACAACCTCAATAACTCCTGAAAAGCGGGCCCTCCAGGTGTCATGAAGTATAAACTGGTCTTCTATCTATTGCTGGTATCTGCACCCATCTGTGTTCTGAGCGCACCCTCTACCCTGGTACCTCTAAAATGACACTGCTCAGAAACAAGTTCACTACCACTTGAGGGCCTCTTGAACAAACCAAAATACTTCCAAAGCTTTCAGAAAATAGCAGATATTGGAGAAGTTGGTGCATTTCACCTCTTCATGGAAAAGGGAAAGGCTGGTTGAGGGAGGTTATGCCCGGAATGATTTTCATTCTGTGTCCATGGAAGTACTGTATGTGAAAGCTACAAAAGTTGTTTGAAGAAATAGACCAAAGCAAGAACACCAGGCTATCACAGCATTCTTCACGATTGCCAACGCTGCTTTCTCCAGGGTGTACTTTTATCTTGCTTTTTCCTCTTTTACTCAGTCCAAGCTTGCTCTGCCGAGCCAGTTTCTCCCTCACTCTTCACTTTTACTTTTTCAAATAAACTTTGCCACTGCTTTTTATTTTTATTTTATTTTTATTCTTTGGTACCAGGGATAGAACTCAGGACCTTGTGGTTGTGAGGAAGGTGCTGGAACCACTGAGCTAAATCCCTGGCCCCTGCCACTGGTTTTTTTTTAAAAAAAAAAAACACCAAAACCAAGACACCTATGCATGCACCAGCCAGGTGAAGAAATCATGCATTCTAGGACTTTTGAAGCTCCCTGCATGCCCTTCTCCTCAGTGGCAGCTCTTCCTTTCCACCCACAGAAAACTAATACACTCAATTCAAGTAAGTGTATCCATAAACCACATATTACTTAGTCTTGTCTGTTTTTGCTTTCATGAAAATGGAATCCTAGTAATTTGTTCTGTGACTTGGTGACTTTTAACATTCTGTTCCTGTTCGTCGTCCACATTATAGGTAACACTCAACTGTATAATTCATTCATGCTCAGTGTAATGGAGAATTTCCTTTTTTAAAGCATCCTTAGCTGGGTGTGGTGTCACACGTCTGTAACTCCAGCACTTGGAGGCTGAGGCAAGAGGGCTGCCACAAGTTCGAGGGCTACACAGTAAATTAAAGGCCAGCCTAAACAACATAGTGAGACTGTGTAGAAAAAAAAAGGTATCCCCTAAGAGCTTCATCTAGGTACAAGACAAACATGAGAGACTGCAGAATGAAGACAACAGAGAGCAGATGACCACATGACTACTACCTGGGCCTGCCCATCACCCACCCAAAGGTGAAAGTCAGCTTGGTCCCGAGTTCTCAGGGTGTGTTCACTGACCTATGTGTCAGT